CACAGCAGCCAGAATATTGTTTTATACATGACTTATACCATAGAGTACCTTTTCCTAAAGCCTTCAAAATGTTACCGATCCTCCTTGAATACAATCTAAACTCCATCCTGTGTTCTATATTGATGTCAGTCAATGTAATCTGTGGCACACTTACTTCTACATCTTATCTCATACCTCCTTCTGGTGCTCACTTGGGTCTAGTTCCAATTTCTTTATACTCTTTCTCAAAAATGGGAAGGCCTTAGGTCTATGTAGATAAGATAGGCTGGATAAACAATCTGGAGGAGAAAACAACGGGACAGATGGTTCTGGTGGGACATGGGAGAGGGGGAGGTGGGGTAAAGGAAGTGGTGGTGATAACAAACCCAGGGGGAAGGGAACAACAAGTGATCCAAAGTCAGTGGCGAGGAGGGTGTAAAAGACCTGGTAGGGCTTGATCAAGGGCGATGTACTCAAGAGGAATTACTGAAACTCAAATGAAGGCTGAGCATGATAGAAGGACAATACGAAAGTAAAAGAAAATAGAGGAAAGAACTAGGAGGCAAAGGGCATTTATAGAGGTCTAAATATAGCCATGTACATATGTAAATATATTTATATCTGATGATGGGGAAATAGGTCTATGTGCATATATTCATAGGTTTGGTATTAATGTAGCAGATTGTCATTGGGCCTCTATTCAAGGACTCCCTCAATGCAAGAACACTTTATTCTAATAACCTGGGATTCCATGATGCACACCTTCCCAACAAGGTCACTGAAGACAAAATGGGTTCATAAGCAAATGTCATGAAGAAAGCTGATGGTGCCTGGCTATCAAAAGATATAACATCTGGGGTCTTAAAGGCTTGAAGATAAAAAAGTGGCCATCTAGCTGAGAAGCAGCAAAGTGCACATGGAAACCTGTGTGATCATGAGGTGTCCATGAGATCAGGTATCAGGCATCAAAGACCCCGAACAAACTATCACATCAGTGTGAATGAGGGAGAGTGCTGAGTGAAGACCCAAAGCCCATCTGTAGACAGTTGGAAATGCTCTTAGAGAAGGGTCACAAGGAAGAGATGAGCCAGTCAGGGTGCAGTATAGCACTGAAGAAACATACAACTTTCCTCTAGTTCTTTAATGCTTCCCCACACCCTCACTATCATGACCCAAATTCTACCTTACAAATCCAGCCAGGCCAGAGCATGTACACTGGAACAGGTAAGAACTGGAAACACAGGGAATCCAGGATAGATAAACCCCTCAGAACCAATAAAAAGAGTAGAGATACCGGGAAGGGAAGGGAAGGGAAGGAGTAGGAGGGGAGCAAAGGGGTAACGATCACAAGGATCTACATATAACCCCCTTACTGGAGGATAGGCAACAGAAAATTTGATGAAGGGAGACATTGTTCAGTGTAAGACATGGAAAAGAAATAATAAATTATAAATTATCAAGGGTTCATGATGGAGGGATGGTGGGGTAGGGAGCGAAAAGATGAAGAACTGATACCACAGGCTCAATAAGAAAGAAAATGTTTTGAACATAATGATGGCAACAAATAAAAAAATATACTTGACACCATGGATGGATGTTTGAATTGTGATAAAAACTGTATGAGCCCAATAAAAGGATGTTTTTTAAAAAATAAATAAAAAGAAAATGTTACACAATTGATACTATGACCCTTTGTCATC